ACACACACACACACACACACACACACACACACACGCACGCAATCACACACACACACACACACACACACACACACACACACACACACACAACACACACACACACACACACACACACACACACACACACACACACACACACACACACACACACACACACACACACACGCGCGCGCGCAATCACGCACGCGCGCACGTATGCATGCACGCACGCACGCACGCACGCACGCACGCACACACGCACACACGTTTTTTCTTCCTTAACATGACAGTTAAGTGCATTACACTCCTTAAGCGAAATTAACCATTGCCGTTGACAAACTTAAAACCCAATAACTGGATGAATATCGCAGCGTACTTGGCATTCGTCTGTCATTTCGTAAAGGCTTTAATCAGGGGCGTAGCTTCGCAAACTGAGTTGAGCTGAGCAGTGAAAAAATGACACAACCCACTGCGTGTGTGTAGGGGGGGGGGAGGGGGAGGGGGTCAGCGTGTGGTGCCTGGCTGGTCGCTGCGGTTGGCCAGCGTCGCCGACTGGCGCTATGCGTTGCGCTTGGACGCCTCCCTGGTGTCGCTGGGGGCGCCTCTGAGCACGCCTAATTCGAAAAATTTGCATGAGGAGCCCATCGGTCAGCCTACCAGCCGGATGATGTTAAGCGTGCGATGCAGGTTGTATGGACTACGATACAACCGACATCGATACACACGTATCAGCCGCATAGCTGGGATGAAACGCGTGACTGGTGAATTAGCGGGATGATAGAACCAGTCAGGCACCACGTTCGTCTGGCTCCCCGTGCATGACTGTGTGCGCTTAACCACGATAGCACACCTCCACCGTTTAGATGGTGATAATATTCAAACGGAGGAACAACGGAACCAGACGAATGAGCCAAATTATCGTCCTGAATTTCATGGCACGCCCAAATCGGCGGGAATCTCGCACAGCCGGCGAATTATACTGGCAGGGAACCGGCTGGATACCGATCTCTCGTCCTCAGCTGATGCACACAGGCTTCATGCATTTGGCGCCTCATCATTTTCACTCCAGTACCCATAGGCTGGCGCCCACATCATACCAATCATTCCTGGCACGCTCACGGGTTGCCCACGCCCCCACCCCCCGCCCAGCACCTTGGTATCGTAATTGGCACGTCTACGTGAGTCCTCTCCGAACTAAATCAAATATCATATAATCCATCTCAATCAACAATTGAAGTCGCGTTTAAGCCCCATTTCAAACGCATGAGGTCAATTTGCCATCAGCCTGGCGCCAACACGGCTACTTGGCCGGCTATATACCAAAGCTGGATGACGACTCGTTTCCTCCCCTTACCTCTAGGGTGGCGACCTCCTATTTGGACGGCGCTCCTCGAGCCTTGTCCGCGATGGGACGGCCCACCGCTCTAAGTAACCCGTTGCTGAGCCCGTGCCTTCGGTGGCGCCCCGTCCAGTACGGAGAAGTCGCACCCGGCGCTTCTGCGCCCTCGCCTCACGCATGCCGGAATAGGCATTGCAAGGCGCCGCCCCACGGCGCATCCCCAGAGGCCTGGAGGTAGGCAGCGTTCCTGGTGGGACGGCGGAACTCGTCGGCAGCCAGCGAGCGCCCGTCATGGCTTGTGTTTACGCCATGCGCCGCTAGAACTGCGGGAAGGTTGGGAAGCTGTGTGAGCTGGCAACGTAACTTGATCTTTTATCGACAAGCATTTTATTGTTGATATAACCCTCGAGGGCGCATTACTGAATGCGGCCGACTAGCTGGGAGCGTAATGGCAAACACACGGCAGCCTGTGTAAAAACACTAATGATGATAAATACTGATAAATCATGCGCAGAGTCGAACCGTGTGCGTTTGATGGCATTGAATTAGAGCTATCACCTGTCACCATAACGTGATTGTTGGCTTGTGGACTGCGGCCACCGGATCTATTCTATTGGTTCGGCCCTCTGACGACCCACTACTCAGTCGAGCGTGACCGCCGCAGAGAGAATTTACAATGTTCAGGTAGGAAATCAAGATTATTGTTTTCATGCGCGGCAGATGCTGTGTTCGCAAATGATTTCGTGGCATAGTGGCGTCAACGAAAAATAAGACAGCCCACCACCAGAGCTCACCAGAAAGATGATGACAAGAAACGCCACAATCATGACCGGTGTCCAAACTTCACGTCTTCTACGTCCGACAAAGATCCTGTCATTAATCGCCACACGCTGATGTATGGAATTCTCAGCCTGTTCGGTGTAGCGCCTTCTGCACGTCGGCTCTGGCACTATTTGCTGCAGCATTGAGCGCCTTCTGCACGTCGGCTCTGGCGCTATCTGCTGCAGCATTGAGCGCCTTCTGCACGTCGGCTCTGGCACTATCTGCTGCAGCATTGCCGTAACTTTTTGGAAAAGCAGGTGGAAAGCTTAGATCGGTTCCTGATCCTGACAGTGCATGGTAAAAATAAGTTTAATGCTTCCTTCTTTCCGAATATTTATCAGTTGCCCCTAATTCTTTGTGTATTTTACCGATACTGAGCCATCGATCGCAGCTTGCTAAATTGACTCATGTTCTTTATTGTGTATTTGTGCGTTATCCGTGTACACATTTGCGACCGTATGCTTGGCGATAATCCCCAGAGGAGGGAAACGTTGTAATCTGATAGAGGACTTTGGCGACGTTCTTAAAGAATTTCAGTTCGAAAAACGAAAGCAGGTACGAAAGATCGAAACCAGGGGTATAGTTTCCAATTCCGTAAGAAGGGCTTCAGTCCCACCCTCAACTTTGAGTGCGGACGAAATCCTGGGAGAAGCCCGTTTGTTGACGTATTTTGGAGATGGTGTAGGCAGAGATGGAACTTTGTACCTCTTGGGGGCTTGCCTCCGGAGCAGGGGGAGGGGGCGGCCGCCCCACCTCTGCCTCTTATCGCGTCTAGAAGTGAAAAGATAACATTGTGTGCGGTTGGGTCCAGAGTGGAAAAATTACTGGGCTGGTGCTGGTCGATTTCTCCGCAGAAATCTGATCCCGAGCGCACTTCTAAAGGTCGGTTTCTCTACGTGACGAATGTGACAACGTCGCTTAGCCACAATCTCCGCGTAAACTGAAGGCCAATTACTTCCAAATAAGAGCTCCCAATTCTTAGTGCCGAAATACAAAGCGTGCACGACCTTTCTTTCAAGACCTCTGTACGGCCACTCTGGTAACGGTACAGTCACCAGCCTGTACCTTTATGTCCTTCCAGTCATCTGCATGTCCGTGTAGCCGGCCGTGAGCTTACATTTTATCTCCATAGAGGGATCTTCGCCCTGTCAAACAATTTTTGTAGCCACTGGCCCGCACGCCTCAGGTCACACCGCTCCACATGAAATCGTCTTTTTCTCGTTGTGTGCCCCTGGCCACCATTAATGAACGAAACACCACACGTTTTTCATTGATCACAGGCGATTGGTTTACTAAGATTTTTGTGTTTGACTTACATGCCATTCCTATTTGATTTACTGTAGGCTATCACCTGGCAGCAAAACATGCGATTGGACGCGTGTGGACAAATATAACTTCGATTCAATACATATTTTTTGTCATTGTATTATGCCTGATTCACCTCTTTTAAAGGGAATATTTCACATTTGAATATATTCAAGCAGCCATCAGGTATGATGAAACAAGTCTACTTATGACAATTGGTATGCTTTTTAGGTGGAAAAGATTACTCTAGACAGCACAATTCTCTGTTGAGTAAATATACTTCTCCGCACATCATGGTTTAATTACGTCATCGCTCCTTGCACAACATTGATTGATAGCCAATTGACGTCTGTTTTACCAGGTAATCGCGCTCGCAGACGCCAGCTACAAACGCCTCGGCAATTATATTTCTTTTGTCCTTGATCACCACATGGCTTATGGAATAGCAGGCTTTGAATGACGCCATAATGACGTTATGAATGCCAAGGTGTCTTTGAAATACTCCCCGCCCCCGATATACCTTCCCCCATTTTCGCGGGCGCGTAGCTCAGAAACTAGAGGGGATTAAGCTTCAAGGGGGGTAGCATTGTGAACAGCGCCGGAAGGCCTTCAAGATGGCTATGTCAGTTCAAAACCCAATGCAACTCTGAAACATTCCCTTAAACAAAAATACAGCTTGGACATCACCTTCAAAAACAAAGTCAGTCGTTAACATCAAACAATTTTGAAAATGGTCAAATATTACAAAACCGTATACTTCTAGTAACCGGGACGCATCGCCGAAATCCGTCGAGAGATCAGGATTTGAGGGTACATTAGGCCAACTGTATCAGCTCAGTCCTCCCTTCCAACCAATTTGAGAAAGTGAGACCCCTAATGCGCAGTACTGAATGTGGGTGGGCTCAGGAAGCGCAGTGGTGTACGTCCCGCAGCCTGTGAAAATACTTACATCTGCATCAGGTGAGTGTGAGCGTAGAGCACGGCTTACAGCTGGCACCGTAACATGCCTGTCGACTGACGGCATCTGTACTTTCGAGTTGACTATCTAACCGGGTATCGCTCAATGCTGGCAGGCCGGCCGCAGCATGGAATTGCGAAGGCCCGGCAGCCAATTCAATACGCTGCTTCCCGCGCGCGTCGGTTGCGACCGCGTACACTGCGTATGACAACACTGCGGGAGGGCTGTCAGCCGGCAACAAAAAATTATTGGCGGCACAGAACGCCTAATTTGCTCATATGACCGCCACGCGATTCGTCGCTGAAGGCGGCAGGTCGGCCGGGGCGTCTTGAACACGCGACGGCCAGTGACAAATCATCAGATCACAGTGTGCATGTGATACCACTGCTGTAGCGTTACCAGCTGGCCGTTGGCTACGTAACATGCTCGTCGGCAGACAGTGTCCATTTTGATGGGTTGGCTCCCTGACCGCGTGGCACTCAATGTTAGCCAGCCAGCCGCAGGTTGGATTTACAAAGTTCCCGCAAGGAATTAAAAATACTTCTGTCGTGTGCGGCGGATGCGATCACGTGCAGTGCAGTTAGTTGTGTCCCTGTCCTCACTGATGACTGTATATTTTCACCATGCAAACCAAACAGGAAACAGGCTCGCAAAAACCTGCGTTCAAAAAGCTGAACGGGAAAACACGATATCTCAGTTTAGCTTAACCGATTCAACAATTTCGAATGATCTTGGAACTAACACAGTTCTTTGCTGTCGCCGTCGGCACATTAATGCTTCTGGATGCTAACATCTTCGCCATGTCATGCACACATCGGCCATTATCGTGCCAGCTCTTCCCACGGTATTGATTTGCGCGGCGATGCATACGTCACAGCAAAAAAGACTACACGCAAAGAAGCCACCTCAAGTAATAGCGCACGGGGCAGCACGAGGTGTCACCTGTACGTGCGAGCCCGCAGGGCCCTCTGACCGATCAGGTGTCGTGCTGTTCAATGGTCTGCGGTCTGAGCGCCGCCACCGCTGGCTGGAATCGACCAGATCGGGACTTCTTATCCGTGCCGTTCGGCGCCACGCGTCGCTCGCCAATTGGATACAGTCCCGTCCCGGACCCAGCGTCGCCGGGCCCGCGGTCACCAGTGCGCCTCGCCCTTTTTGCCGGCTACCCGCTTGAAGTCCTGCATGTTGGTGGTGCCGATCAGACTGCCGAGCACCGCGATGTGGTCAATCCGCGTCGTATCGGCACCACTCTGGTTGTCGCGGAAGAACAGCTGCAGGTTGGTGACGTTCTGGAACTTGACGTAGCGCAGCGGCACGATGCCGTCGGCCAGGTCCTCCTTGCTCAGCTCCAGCTCCTGCACGGCCGTCATCGACTCGGCCTTGTCGAAGTCGAGCGTGTTGGGCTGGTTGATGAACAGCTTGACGGAGCGCGGCCCCGTCTCGGCCGGAGCGTTCAACCGCAGCGAGTGGATCTTTACCGCCTGCGAGAACGACAGCGACAGGATGAGCTGCTCGTCGCAGTCGGACTCCAGGTAGCCGGCGCCGGCCTTGAGCGCGCCCGCGAACGGGTGATCGTCGGACTCGTTCAGGCACTCGCAGCTGGACTGGTGGATGTAGGAGGCAAGGTCAATGTGGCCGGCCACGCCACAGTCCTCGGCCGCCTCGTCGCCGTCGCCGCTGCCGTAGTGCTGCTTGATCTTGTCCTCCAGCGCCCGCTGGTCAGCGCCCTGGAATGGCCGGCGCCGGTTAGCACCCGCCCGCCGACGGACCATCGACGGTGTGCACGGCATAACTGCAGCACGATCCGGGGTCGACACGACGCCAAGGAGAGGAGACTACGAGGTGCAGCGTTTGGACCATCACAATTACACACTTTGTTCATGTTATTGTGCTCAGGTGTCCTCAACATCCAACGCTGCCTTACTTTGCAGTATATCAAAAGCCCGGTAATTCCATGACAATCCAACCGGATGTGGAAATAACACTTGCCTAGAGTCAGTTCATAATACCACTTTCCACCAGCTGCTGTCAATTGGATACAAATGATCCGTGACCACTCTGCTGTACCTGCATGGTATCAATCTTGTTCTTGTTGCGGTAGAATATGAAGGTCGGCATGGCACGCACGCCCTGAGCCGCTGCTGTGTCGGGGCACTCGTCCACGTCAATTTTTAAAAACAGCGCCTGAGGGACAGACAAAGCTGTCAGAGCAGCCAGAGCCCCACAGAAACTGCCTGCTTGCCGTCCAGGACAGCACATATTAAACAACACATACCTTAGTATCAGAGGTAAAAGTAATCAAACCTTATAGATTAGGCCAGGTTTTTGGTGTAGTTTAACAGCACTGTCACCAACCCTGCTCGCTTGCAATCACTTCCCAACAGCTTGCCTCAAGACCAAAGGAAGAGCAACTGACCTTCGGATAGCGTTTGGCGTACTCCAGGAAGACTGGCGCTATGCGCTGGCATGGACCACACCAGGAGGCAGTAAAGTCAGCCACCACCAGGCGCGCACCAGCGCCAGCCAGCTCGCCAGCCAGCTGGCCGTCCTCTGATAACATCTTCAGATTGTTTGACATTCTGGTCTATGGAACCTGAAATTGCACACAAGCAGCACATACAGTGATCAAATATCCATTACCCCAGTATAATAGGGTGCTGGTGCACCTCACCATTTTTTGAAGGTATCTTGGGAGCTATATTGAGGATCATACTGAAATATGGGTTCTGTGAGTTTTCATACCTGACCTTGCAGTTTCAATGTGCTGCAATCTACTGGCACCAAACTGACAGTCTTCTTCTCAAAGAACACAAAGTGGAAGTGCTGCAGTAATTGGTTGCCTTTCTCAAACTGCATTTGCCCATGTTGTCTAGCAACTCTGCATGCCCAGAGCAATAACTATACAGATGGTCAGTTGGCCACTCAATGAAATAGGTATCAATGACTGGCCATAACACTCAGCCCTGATCCATGATAAAGCCTGACATGAATACACATAAAAATAGGATACATCTCCAGGAGTGTGTTTTGCATGGCCACCACCAGACAGATGTGATGATGGTCTGTGAGCATAAAGTACTGGGAGGTGCGGTGATGGTGCACTAGACACATGTATTTGGTCAGCTGGCGACAGGCATTGGAGTTGTGCATGGGAAAAATTGGCCTCCTAGCCAAATTGTCCAGGGTAATGACTCATGATACATGGGATTTAGCAGAATTTTCATCAAATCCTCACACATTTTGCAGGAATGGCATGAACTCAGTAAGTGTCTCTGACAGCAATCAAGATCACAAGAACAATAATGATATTGATAAAAACCTCTGGCATTTATCCATATCAGTGTCACACATGGTGATCATGATGTTAGTCTATTATTTTAACTTTTTTAACTAATCTGACAGGCTGAATCACCAATAAACAACCACAGAAGGTGGCTTGAAAATATACTTTGATATTAACATCTACAGTTCTGGCACACTAACAGTGTATGAGAAATAAATAGCAAAGGATTTCACACAATACAGGTAAAAATCACAAGATGACCTTTACACATTCCATGTGAGGGGAAAAAACAAAGTGATCTATATGGTCTTACTGAAGCAATCATTACTACTCGTATCATGTTTAACAATAGAAGAGTAGAGGTGCAGGACCTCATACAAAGAGCGCATGTCTGCAATACATATGACACACTCCAATTACTAGAAGACAATAGTACCAACTATGGCTTTCCCTGGGGATTCTGCATTGTGGGTTGATAATCACGACCAACAGAGGAAACGACACCCGGTCTTATTACTTTTAAATAATCACTGACGCATGAGGCGACTATGAACGCATGCTCTACAACACTTACTTTGATGCTTGAGCACAGATAACGCAAAAAAAAACCCCCAATTGCGCGCAGAGATCTCCCGGTCCACCCAATACCCTCAATCCGGAAGCCGCTCCCCCAACTCACTCGAGCCTTCCTAAGCAACGACGAATACTAGCATAAGATGACACTTTCCCAGGCGGTCTTGAATGCATCTACCGCGCCGAGAACGCAACCCGGCTGACTATGCACTAGACGCAAGGTCCTGGCTGGCAAAATATTACGCCACTACGTCCAAAACGAACGGCGAAACACACCATTTACGTAGAGCCGCGAGACCGCAAGGCAGGGGTGTGGTTTCCCATTTAGTTAGTGGGAGATGGGTCAGCTCCCTCCGCTAAGGTTTCAGCCCTCCTCCCAGCCATCGGGAAAAAGTGGGCAAAATCCATGGAGAAACCTGCTTATTGGCGTATTTTGGGGACAGCAAGAATCTTCCTATCCCGACGTTTAGTTTTTTACCATGCTATTCTTCAAACGGGAACCCCCTTGTGCGCAGCCCTAGAAAAATGCCCGTGCTTCTTATGGACATACATGGAGCCTATTCATTTTCTCCAGGTCATGGGGAATCCTGTCGTTTCGAGGATAAGTTGTCCGGAAAAAAACATTGCGAAATGAACCCAGGTTGCTGCTAAATGCCATGAAATTCAAGCACGAACTTGATTCCTAGCTTTTTCACAGCTGACCAGCTGGTCAATGTGATCAGCTGATGACTGATGACAGGAACGCGATGCACAACTATGATAGGTGTCACTAATTCAATTACCAACAGAAATATAACACATACGACGCCGGTCGCGCGTAAACATATGTTCGCCAATTGCGCATAGAATTCATCAGCACGTATCTGATTGCTGTTGAAACGTTAAGATACCAATGCCAAAAGAGACGGAACCTGGGCGATCGTGGCTGCCGTGGCAGGCCATCAAAGAGGCTTCCGTCGACAAGTTAAGGATCGCCAGGGGAAGCGAGAAGAAGCAAAGACCAACGTGGTGGGCATCTGAACGATTGGGAGTGCCCCGGTAGGCTGACATGTGGGGTCCGGCCAGAGCACAGGGCCCTCTGAGCAAAGGGGAATTACCCAAGACCAGTGTGCATGCATTAATACCCCTGTGCGATCAGAGGTGCCCAAGCAGGTAACACAACTATTCCCGATAGGAGTGAAAGGTCCTCCGCAAATGAGCTCAAAGGCAGAGCCCTACGTCAATGTAGAGGACCACTGAGCATCGAGTGGCTCGGTGCCTTAACTTATATGAGCCTCAGCAGCCGCACAAAGCCCTCCGAGCAGGTGACAAGAACCCGAGACTTATATGAAGCGCCCCTGAGCAACTGAGTGTACCCAGAGAAATGGGACCGCGGCGAAAACGTATGGGGCCTTTCGGGTGAATGGGAGGAATCCGTGGAGGGCCGCTTATCGTTCAAGAGTACCCGGGCATGTTAGCAGATAAGTGTCTCCACAGCAGCGTAAGGCCCTACGAGAAAATGTAAAGAGATCAAGGGTAACGTGGAACGCTCTTAAGCGATGGGGTTGACCGGACAAGTGGACACATAGGGCTTCCAGCAACGATCGATTAGATTGAATCAGCAAGTGAACATAACAAGGGCCCCGGAAACGGCGTCGGACCTCCGGAAATCGTATTGAGTTTTACAATCTCCCAATCACCGCCCTCTCAGCCAGTGAAGAGTCATTGTTGTCCAATTGCGGGTCCTTCACTTTCGCTTGCGACTGTTCTGGATCGCCTGGGGGCCCGAAGACGTCCAGTTTTGTTGCGTTTTGCATTAAAGAACTGCATCTGTTCGGCCGGCTATGGGCCCACCTACGGAGCCTGCGTGTCCTTCCGGGGCCCAAGGGGGGAGGGGACCATGGCCTCTTGCCTCCCCCTCTGGATCGGCCCCTGTCGACGGCCCCCCCCCCCAACTCATTTCCGCAACTACGCCCCTGCCGCAAGGTCAGCATTTCTGAAACGGTGGGGTGAAGTTTTCATCGGAGGGTCTCAAACGGCATTACGGGCCGTAATTGGTGAGGGAATCACTCGTGGATGTGAACGCCTGCATTAATGGTGAGTAGTAGCGGAGCCAGGATTTCGTCAAAGGGGAGACGCACGCGACATTGTCGGACCCCTGGAGTTTGAGGCCCCTCAAAAAAAAAAAACGGGCAAAAGTACAGACAAGTTCCAGAGTTCGCGTCACGAGATGCCTCACAACTCATCACAACAGGGATCGCGTAATCACTCGGGTGGCACTGTGAGCCGGGGTTACGTCCGCGAGGTCAGGCCCTGCCAGTGCACGGCGGGCGACTACGGCAAGGTCCCAGCGCGGGGAAACGAACCCAGATGCGGCATACAGGATCACATCACGCCTTCTACAGACATGGAAATAGAAGTGGAAAAATCCTTTGGTAGAGACTGTTGATGGAGAGAGGCGAAAGGAAAACGCGATAACTATACGTTCTTCTCAGGTGATATGATGAATCCAGTTCGGAAACAAGATATCAAGCAATCAGCTTTGAAAAAGCAGCTACCTATTCAGATCATTGTCAAATGGCACATGAGGTTCGGTTTGGCCTCTCACATGATTGCATGCATGCTAAAATAGATTAAAGAGTGTACGCCACCCTTCTGCATCTACACTCATTGTGGCAGCAGACGCGTCCAATTCGATCGGTAATACCAGCTTTCTCGAAATCCTTCTAACTACATCAGTCTGCCTATTTGAAGTAAACGCTCCTGCGGGAGAAATCTGGCTCATCACTATGAAAGCAATGCAATGCTTTTCACAACGTGTGTACTGTGCAATGTTTGCAACACACCAACGTGCCGAAATGCTCGTGTAATAATTGCTACAAAAGCTTAAAACACTCTTCTCAGAGGAACAAATGAGCAAGCGAGATTCTTATCTCGCGAATTCAACGAAACGTATTACTACGGCTTTGATTCCTTCACCATGGCGTGTACTGTAGTGTCTCTGTCCGAAACGCACTTCGCCTTGGGAAACGGAGCATCACACGTACTTCAGTGACGCAGAGGCTTAAATTTCAACCGATGTGCTTCTCGGTAACTGGCCCTTGCCGCCCGCACATCACAAAAGTTTACTTGTATAAACGCCATTCATAACAGTACAGGTGCCGCTTTTAAGCCCGCATGCCCTAACGCACGGGTTAAAACAGCTCAAAATCGGTACTTCTAATCCGCAACAGCTGACAATGGCGCTCAGCATTCTGCCGTCGTCATGACGACGGCGGTCTCGACAACTAGTTGTCGCGGACTCCGGGTGCACTCTGGGGCATCCCGAGTCCGGATGCACTCTGGGGCATCCCGAGTCCGGATGCACTCTGGGGCATCCCGAGTCCGGGTGCACTCTGGGGCATCCCATGTCCGCGAAGGAACACAACAAAGGAAGAAGTGTAGTGTTGTTACAAAGTGTTAACAGCGTAACTTGGACTAAAAATAAACACAATTTGCGACACAACATGTAACTAGATACTTGTTATTGATACGGATGCAGTGGCACTACCCAATGCACATAAGTGGTTCCGAAGTGCCACCAGGGTAAACTTGTGAAATATGCCCCGAAAGTGGGACAATCCCTTTAAATATGTCTCATGCGGTCATGCGGTCTCACAGCCGCATGACTTCTAATCGCTGAACAATTTCCGCTGGTGAACTTCGCTGCACCAAAAAGCTTGCGCAGTGACACTGGCGATGGACGGAATATTCCGCGCAACGTTAGCCACGCGACGCGGTTAATGCGGTACAACACGCCAACCAGCTACCATTGCCAAGGAGTTTCTTGCAACGTGCGATTTAGCACACTGCTCAGCCAGGTCAGGCTGCGTCTTCATGGGCGGTGGCCGAGACATGATGACAGACACTTGCATTTATTGCACAACTACAAGCCTAACTTCAGTGCTTAAGAGCCTGCGCAACGATCACCAACATTGACGCTTCAATCGAATTCTTCATAACACCAACAGCCTCAGTGGGATCGAGCCTCGGGGGTTCCGACAGGAACAGCGTAACAACCCCAGGAGAAGCTGTCTGCGGAGTGACGCCAGCCGCCAACCGGCTGCTCACATCGTGCGCCTCAGCCGTGCCCACCAGAGGCGGGCGGGCAGCCAGCCGTCGCGACGCTGCAGCGCCGGGTGGAACACGTCAAAGTCGGCCCTTTGCAGGCGGCGCAGGTAGCTGGCCACCGCCACGCCTGGCAGGAACACCGAACGCGCCGCCACCGGCAGCTCGGCGAAGTGCTCCTTCACCTGGCGGCCACCAGACGGTGACAATGACTAAACATGGTTCATCTCTCAATCCAGTCTTCAAGTACACCCATACACCCCCACACACAAAGAGGAGCGTCCGACTAGGTAACCTTAAGACGACTGCTCCACATCTGCAGATATCGAGGCAAGCATCAGATATGATAGAGAAAGCTCACTTGTAATGTCTATGCTCGATACCAGATAAATCGATTAGTCATTTCGATAAATCGATAGATGATAGTGAATGCCATAGTGCCATAAACAAATGCCATGGGCGTGTGTGTCAAGCCACGCCATTCTACATAATACAATCTTCTTGCGCCACGGGCCATCTTCGATGAAACATGAACGACATCTATCCTCGTTGGCCACAAGAGCTCGAATTACTAGGATACTTCTCTGTGAATTACACCATACTATAACGTTTCCACAAAACAATGCACCTCGGAATCGCGTTCAATGAGGAGCCATTCCTCTGCGGGACAACAACTTTGGGATCGACGATTAAAAAACAAATCCAACGGGGACAAAACACTGAAGCAGCCAAAATCCTGGGGAAGTCAATTTTTGGAGCAGGTTAGGATAGTGTTGGCTCAGCTCCCCTCCCCCAATCGATTTTAGAAAGTGACACCCTGCCGGTACAGGGTGTCAGGGTGTACCGAATATTCGATGCTGGTGGTGCCTTACCGACATAAAAACCCTCATTGAAGGTATTTGAGGTCGGGTAGAAATATACAAAAACACAATGAGGAAAGGCCAAAACACACGCATATACCACCAATAACATAAGCACTTACACGCAGACTCCAACGCCATCTTGCGGCGTTTTAAGTTCCGCGAGTGAGTCCGCCATTCGCTACACTGGCAATATTGACACGGCCAATCCGGCAGCGACTCCGACGTCATGAAAGTGTTTCATAACGTAATCCAACGATGACGCATTGCGGAGCAGTCATTGCGTAGTGAAATTTTGTCACTTAGGGCAGTATTTTCCACTTAAAGCATACCCAAGGTTACAAATGAACTTTTTCCATAGCTGATGCTTGCATCAATGGCATGAAATGTGGAACACTCCTTTTAAGGAGCAGCAGGGTCTAAGAATAACATGGGATCTTCGATAAGTCATCGCAGCCCCATAAAGTCTTCAAGGAGAGGAGGTGCAAATCGTTCAAAGTTATGCTGCACATCTTTTAGCCCATCTGCATAAAATGGTCCAATATTACGTCATTTTCAAGCAGCATCATAACGTGACCGCCAATAAAAAGGAGGACGTGGAGGAAGGGGGGGGGGGGGGGGGGGGTAGAGAGAGGTGATGCTACAACTACGAAAATGACAGAAGTATCTAGGCGTCAATATGGGATAATGGGATTTGATCTGTGGCATCGCCATACCAAGGCCAGCGCCCCACCGCGCCTCTCTAAAGGCCATGTGTTCGGAGCGAGGCAGGGGCGCGGCCGCTGGCGGACGTTCCGCCGGACTCACGTGCTCCAGGTGCCGGTGGGCGACGCTGGCCACCTCGAAGGTCACCTCACGCAGGCCGGGTTGGTCGCGGCCACGCCACACCTGCTCGGCGGGCACAGCGTGCTTGTGCAGCAGGTCGGACGGCAGATGACAGATGCGGCGCGGCGCCAGCCGGGGCGTCGCGCGCAGCAGCGAGGCCACGCCCTGCGCCCGGCCCAGACGGCTGGCCAGCTGCAGCTGCTCGGATCCCACCGCCAGACCTAGGTCTGCCGGCGGCGCAGCAACGAGGTCACGCCCTGCACCCGGCCCAGACGGCTGGCCAGCTGCAGCTGCTCGGATCCCACCGCCAGACCTAGGTCTGCCGGCGGCGCAGCAACGAGGTCACGCCCTGCGCCCGGCCAGCTGCAACTGCTTGGATCCCACCGCCAGACCTAGGTCTGCCGGCGGCGCAGCACGAGGGCTCACGGCCCGGCTCGGGCACCGGCAGACACAGGCCGCACCGGCCGCGGGACATAGACCAGCTGTGTGCGGTCGCCAACGTACCGGGACCAGTGCGCACACGCCGAGTCCTAGCAGAACGATCTCAATGTCGAGCCATCAACATGTCGCGTGCCACTATATCGCGAGGATCCGACAAGCACTGTTTTTTTTTTGGCAATAGGCTTAGCGAATAATCCTGATCATTCGGCTATGTGGTGTGCAAAGCTGATAAAAAACGGACCGCATAATGACTTGATATGTTTAGCCTCAAGAGCCCACAGGCTGCTTACTTTGTATTTGCACCACACTAGAACCACAAACACCAGACAACTCACAAACCTCCACCCCAGAGGCCTACAAATGATATTGAGCTTACCCATGCACTGTAGTACGAGGTAGTTAACAGGTGAGACAGTGTTGACAGCATACTCCTCCATGCTCCGCGTGGTGGAGAACGGGTGATTGGACAGCGAATGTTTGCGTGCTTCCACCAGCCGCTTCAGCCATCCCTTGGAGATCCGGTGATTCTTCGTAGCCTGTATTTCAAAAGCACACAGACATCAGAGACACATATAAGTAGAAAATTGGGCCAAGAGCAGGTGGAACTGTAGGGGGCAGGCCTATTAATGAAGTGCATACTTAGTTTTAAGAGCCACAGCTAGATGGTGGAAAATATGCCATCTTAAGATGAAAACACCAGTTTCTGTTTCCACCATCAGTGCCTACCCAGGCAGCACAAAGCTGCTGTGTGCCATTTCATCTGTCTTTGGTGATTTGTATTGTAGCTCTGTGCATTCTTATGCATTTTTCACTCATTGCAATTGCCCCTGTGCCCTGTTTTCCACGGATGGCTGTGCAGAGCCTGGTGAGTCTGAGTTAGCGCGTGAGCAGCCTCACCTACCCTGTGCAGCTCCAGTGCCACAGGCTGCTGGGGGGGATCGTCGCGGAACGTCTTGTCAATGGCGTCCGACCAGAACTGGAGCCGCATGAGACCGATCTGCGACTCTGACACTGTGTCGCGGACCCGTGCCAACTGCAACCAAGTCAACAACAGGGTTAACACTAACCATCCGCTCCTGTGCGCTGCACGGTAGCGGCAAGCACGCACGCACGCACGCACGCACGCACACACAAATGCTGGATAGTTTGAAGCTGCCACAACCAGTGCATAGTGCAAAGCCCTGCAAACAGATAAACACCCTTTTCATTAGCAATCATTCACATTAAGGCGGACGCTGCACGAACATTTACAGTAGATGCACCCAAAGACAAAACAAAGCATCGTCTTCATGCATTAAATAACATAGCGAGTACTGATAAACCATATAATTTCATCGGCATGACTCAGAGTACGAGGAAATCAGACTAACCCAGCTCACCACCTCACCTCGACATTAAATGCACGGATTGCAAACACCCCAGCACGTGCTTGGTTTGGCAACAGCAGAGTGCATAAGAAGTTTTCATAATCATGTTTCCTGAAAAAGGAATACTAGTTATTGTTCATTTCACATCTGCACACCAACAACGACCATGACATAGTTCACAGCCTACGCTTTAAGGACTTAGCAATTCACACCATTTGCACACCAGTTTTTCCTAAAATGCCGGTTACGCTAAACGCCACTGACAGCATGCACATAACTTGTCTAAGAGGTCTACATCTTCGTCCCACAAATAAAAGGGGATCAAACCAGTTCCATTGGAGGAGGGACAAGTGAATGCCCAGTAGACCAATGAATGCCTCAGGCAAGCAGTTTCCATTTTATATTGTACTGTGGTTTGGTGTCAGGGTCGGAACTTCAGAAGTAGGTGACGTAGCAGTCAGCGTAGCAGGTGCAAAACCACTATATGTATAGCATAGCAATCCAGACAATAAATTATCTCCATAACATTTTATGGATTCAGAGCACACAAGGGTCGCTCACTACCTTCCCCCGCCATCGTTGGGCTCGCCTGTTCAGAAAAATATTCTAAACATACTCTGGGCATGCCACCCCTTTCAAATGTTACTACACCTCCAAGGTGAGCTTAATTCAGGGAGCACGATGGACCATGTGGCATTACAGCGCGTTTCACTTTCGGCAGAAAGCTCCGCAGTTGACATGAAACCTTATGATCAGATGGTGGGACTAGACCTCATGCAATATGTCAATATGCACAGCTAAGCAGGGTTCTCATCCCAAAAATCATAAATACATCCATTCACAAGGTTTGGACCAAATATTGGCAGGCATTTGGTTTTATAGGTTAAAATATTCATCTAAGGATCTTAAGAGTATGCTGCTTCCACTGCTAGCTCCCCTCATAAGCTTAACCATCTGTTTCTTAGCAAGATGTTGCTTTTGTAGGGCAGCTTGTCCTCAGCAATTACCACCTAGCTGCCTTCTAAGGAGACTGTCAAATTACCTGCCCAGCCAGCCTAGAGCGTGGACCAAAGTTCCTTTATTAAGGGCACCTGGACACAATTAACCTTTCTTAAGGGCATATGGACCCAACCCTCTTGTTCCCACCCAGTGTCCAGTTCCTGAGGTTATTCTCAGTGTGCAGATAACAACCACCCATACCTTTGTCAGTTGTTGTTTGAAGCACAACAAGAACAGGTTTCTGAACAGGTCTGTAGGCTCCATTTTTCAAGTTTGATGATGAACAACGTATTGTATGATGGGGTGTAACAATGCTGTAATTGAAATACTGTGGAGACTGTACAAGAAATTAAGAGTCAACAGAATCATTCATCTGTCCATTACAAGCCAGAATCTGCTCCCAAATACCCCTCCTTTTGTTATGTTTAGGTTACATCCTCTCCCCTAGTGTAACACTGTGCCATCATTCATGCACCTGGCTGAAGTGTGAAACACAAATTTCTGCCCATCTTGATTGAAGCCAACCAACCTTGGGCCAGAAGCCAGGGAGAATGGATTTGGTTTAGCAAGCTGACACTGCATGGTGTATTTCTGATGCAGTTTTAGATTTGGCCTTGCTACTTTGAACTGAAGTAAAAGGCTAAAGGTTCAGTTTACTGTATCCTATGTTGGAAGGTGTTAAGATGTCAAGGAATGTCCTTGCCTCTATTACTGACTTTGTGTGTGGAAAGACAGAGGTCAATGGCTTTGCATTTAGCTTTGTGTTTCAAAATGTGATGCTGCTGACTTTCAACATAGCCTCACAGCTCAAAACCTTAAAGCCAGTGGCTTTAGCCACACATCATTTCTTGGCTTAAGCTTTTCCTGGACATCCTGAAGCTTGGTTTTACAATGGAAATCACTCTATTATGCATTAAGAGCCACCAGACCAAAGCAATGTGTGGCTTTGGTCCAAATATGGGACAACATAAATTTGCACCCACTTTCATTACATAACTTTGTCCTCTGCAAGATGACTCCTTCAGATTAACTAATATCAATGATAGTAAATAACAGTGTAATTGCATGATTTTACCCTTGCAAATGGGAAACATTATTACTTCACACCAAAAACGGCACTCACAGCATGTGGTTACACCTAGAGATGGCTACAAATGTGCCTAGAAATGTGCCTGGTTCCAAAGAGTGCTTCCCAAGAGCCAATTCCTGGTCACTGAACCAGGAAAAACAGGAAACATGTTAGGTTGGGTGCAGTTTAAGTTAAATCACGGGAAGTTGTAAGCCTTAGCAGGTTTAAAATGCCATCTCCTTTCGGAATTGCTGTTGAGAGGAGGTGCTCTATACAAATTCACATGCTGTCATTGTAAAGCACTTGGCATTGATGCAACAGCTCTCATTGGGTGTGTTACACACACCACTACTGTTCCGCCCTGATTGTTGCATAATGTTACATGAGAATAAAGCATGCTGTGCCGGCACGGACAATACACAGATTATACAAGAAATATCACAATAATTATCCTTGCAAACATCATCAAAGGTTTAATTTCAATCATGACTAATGAGACGTATGCTTACACCGCTACACAACCGCATCTAAGAGTAAAATCATTAATAATTCAGATTAAAATATCTTGACTGCACCTTGGAACGGTAGGATCATTAATAAATCAGATCATAATCACCTGTCATGTAGATACCTTAGAAAATCATTCAGTCGAAAGCCCCGCAACAGTACTTTAATATGCACCTTTCAAGCCAAGAAACGAATAAGCACTATGCACCTTCTCACCTGACCAATTCAAGGCAGTACGAAGAAGTACTTCTTCTGGGAAAAACGAAATCTGGCCCACGCTCAGCGGGTAGTGGATTTCCATTTCTTGCTAACCTAAAATTATCCACATTTTGTCTGCCCGAGCGCAGCGTTTGCCGTACGATTCCCGTGGACAGCATGGGCGCAGACATCTTGCTAAAAGGGGCGTTGTGATTGGCTGATTTTTCCGAAGGTCCCGGATTCATAAGCTGATTGCGCTTCAGTTTCGGCATTCGCCGTTCGCCTTCGCCGTGCTGTGGGCGGTAATTCGCGGATTGGGGTTTGCCAGCCTGTTACAGCCGCTCGCTGGGTTGCGGAAACGAGGTGTACGGTGGAGACTGCAAGCATTTTTAAAGTATTTTGCGATGAATTAAAGTGCCAGGTAATTGATCAACGAGTGTACTTGATTTACTGTGATAAGGCTACGATCTTTTATGATGGTGTTGTGTGAAGAGGACGTCGTGAACTGGTTCCAAGGACTGAAAGGACATCAAAGGATCCCACTCATGCATCAACTAGTTCATATGTGCCATCCTCTGGAGCTTAGATTTATAGCGTCGTGTGTGGAGGATGCGTGCAGGACAGACTACTTGGCCTTCCGGAGCTCCGAATATCAGGCCAATAGCCAAACTGTGCTCAAGTCGCTAGGAAGTGCATTAGATGTTGAAGCAAGGAGCAAGATCATCATTTACCTGTGTCTTCTTAACTCTACAAACAAATTGTGTTCAAGGATACTTAACCAGAAGATATGTGATCATGAGTCTGTGAGCCAGTTTTGTGATGAAGTGCATAAACAGTTGATGGATGGGGACCTGCCCACCAGTCAGGAGCAGAGGAAGCTGGAAGAGCTCCGTCTCCTGTATACGCTTGCCTTCCTGCATCCCACCTTTGATTTTATTGAAAGACAACATTATAGGGACATGTGTGGTAGATTGAGTGAGCTGGAAAGTGAACTCCAGAAGCTAGAAAGAAGGCAAGAACAGAAACCATTAGAATCTGTTGTACCAAAGGTGAGTACCTTCTTAGGTGGAGTACACCCCAGTACCCAGAGTGCCAAATATGTATATATATATATATTATATATATATATATATATATATATATATATATATATATATCAGGCATACACAGAATGTCCAGTGTAGTAGTGATATAGTCACAACTGCAATGCATGCATTTCATAATTCAGAGCATCCTGAGTTTGGTGCATAGTTGCCAGCAATTGTGGTTTATTAAAAACCAATGGTTTAAAAATTGTGATGCTTCAAATGTTTTAAACTTAAAGTAACCATTCCCTTAAAGCCAAAGTGTTAAAAACAGCACAATTTAGGCTGGCTGGAGTCAAGTGCAGAAATGTGCCTAGCTCATAATATTTCCAATGTGAGCCAGGCACAGCAAATAGATTTCTTAGATATTTTGCACAATTAATTGCATCGCAATACTTGAGTTGTGTTGCCAAACATTTAGTGCACATCTCCACACACTATTGCTCATTTATGGTTGAGGATGCCCTGACGTATGAGAGGACCGTAACATGCACAGTTTTATCAAATTTGTATCAAAGCATAATTTGATGCATGGATGGATGCATGATAACCTGCAATTGCTGCTGGCCGTGGTGCTCTTTCCCAGCCCATTTTATTAACTTTTGTTTGTTTAAACAAAGTAACTTGTTGTGCAGATAATGACAAGTGTGATTTATATAATCTAGACCTTACCCTCTCAATGTCAGTGTGCTGCCTTAGAGCATTATTTTGTGGGTAGTGAAATTTGTGTTCATCTGTGGATTTGTGGTACATTGTTCAGCTGCACTATTTTATCGCACAAGGACAGCACGCCATTTTGAATATTTTGCTACATTCCAAGAACTGATTAAAAGAATGACAGGCATGGTTAAACAGGGAGGAAATTGCCAGACAAAATACGATCAGACATGGTGAAATAGGCTCACTATTGGCATACTTCATCAAAGTGGAAAAGACTGCTCTAGACAACACAATACCTCTGTTTAGTAAACACAGTCTTCAATGTGTCAGTGTTTGATCACATCATCAGACCCTATGCAACATGTATTGAGAGCCACATGACAGCTTTTATGTCTGGAAGTTATGCTCATTAATGCCAGATATGAATGACTCAACAATTATTTCTCTCTTGGCATTGAACACTGTGGGTAATGATATGGCAGGATTTGAATGACATTATTATGGCATCATGACATGCCTGGGTAACCTTTGGAATAGCCTCCCCAATTTCTTTTCTCACATCTCTACAGGCATGTAGCTCAGAAACTAGAGTGGCTTAGGTCTTAAGAATGGCAGGGCTGTGAACTGTGCAAAATGATCCTCATGATGGTTATGTCAGAATTCCAACACAAATGTAGACCACTCCACTTAGCGCAGTGGCATTCCAGGACTGTCTGGCTGCAGTACATCTTTGTGATTTGGAAGGCATTGTTTTTTTCCAAATTGCTTGGCCAGCTACAAGCTAGAGGAGCATGAAGCATGGAACCTATCTAGAATGTCATTTGTGCAGATGTATTTTTTATATTACAGTCTTCACTTCTGAGTTTACCAGAAAGTTTCATTGAACTGCAGAAAGTTCAATTTTCACAGCAGTGCATTCTCAGATTTCAATAAATGATTGGGTATTGCATAGCCAGGTTTACATAGGCAGGTCTGTGTTTACAGAACAGCGGCATTAGTCAAGTGCTGTTTTCTCTAAACTGTGTATAATTAGCCACATTAAGATCTGTAAAAATCCACCATAGATAGTCAAATTAATCTCTAAACTTTGGCAAAAGGGCTTATATTTTTCAATAACATTTCAAAACCATACAAAAGGGTATGTAGGAAGAAGACATAAATTCATGCTATGAGATTTCTGGCTTCAGTAATCCCTGTATGCACAACTGGTTAGCTGCTTATCTGTGACTCTTTGACCCTGAAGCCTTACATCTGACCTGTCCAGCTGATTTGCCAAGCTCAACTCACCCTTAGGATGCTGGGTAGATCCACATCAAGGTTGATGCTGGTTGGCAGATCTTGAGCAAGTGGGAGCAACAGGCAGTAAACCTGGAGCTTGGGGTGTCTCAGCATGGAAAAATCCACATTCCTGCCACCCAAGTGACCAAAGATTGAAACATGATTTATCATGACCAGGTCAGGCAGCAACTGGCTGGAGTTCTTTGTTTCTGCCAGACCATCTCTACATGCCAGTGGAGTCAAACACACTAATACAGACTAGTATAACTGATGTGTTTCACATTCCTGATATCAGTATGATGCCCAGATGAGAACACTGATAAGAATATAGGCCAGTTGCTTGAGGCATTTTAATAAATTGTCAAAGAAGAGAATGCTGTATACACCTCAGGTTCTTCAGAAAGAGCACAGGGGACAGTCCAAGAAACATCCATTTCTAAATGTGGTGGGTGGGTTCAGTGCTGGCGATGTGCACCAACATTGTGGTCTTATTGAGTTGTCTTTCCATGTGTTGCCAAAAGCTTGGTGCTTGAATATGAAATTACTGGTGAGGCTTCCCAATTTACATGCTGCGACCAGCCTAAATAATCTAAACTGCAGTTTTTATGCTTGATATTAATTTGGAGGAAACAGTATTCAGCAAGATAACTTAAACCACGAGCACAGTGGTGGATTCGTAGGCTTGTATCCAAGTGGCCCACACAATAGTGATTGCCTACGACAATCCACACACCTGATTTAAGAAGGCTAGAACAATGTGAACGAGGTGCTTTTTTCTCTCTGATTGGTTCCTGGTGCCATTTTGCCAATACACCTCTCAAGAGCATTGTGGGCCGATGCATAAACGATTGTGTGTTTTCAATAGCTTAGGCTCGTGTCCCGCTCTTCCAATCCCGTCTCAATCTGTTGCGAGGCGAGACCATGCTCGGTGGAGCTTTGACTTTTTTGATACCCGCCGGTGTGGCCGATGGAATACCCTTCGCTCGGGTGGGAAGAAGTCAATTTAACTCTCCCCTGAGATCTCGGAAACTAAGATAGCTAGAGACACCAAATTCACAGGGCGAGCTGGCCTTTATGTGAACTTTTATGGTAAAATTTGATGTTTTTGGTTCATGACCTTGGGGTCAAATAAGGCCAACAAGGTCAAAGTCCAGATTGGTGCGTAAAGTACCCCAGTGCTCCTCGCGCAACCGCCGTGAACTTAGATATCTGCTCAAAGCAAAAGGTCCATGATGGTCATTCAAGGTCAGTGACCCTGTCTGATCTTTAAAGTGACCAAAAATACGAAGTTACTGTTATTTTTTCATTTAAATAAGCGTCAGGGATTGTATTATTTGGTATGCCCGGAAGAAACAAAGTGTCGGCCTTGATCATTTACCTAATCTGAGTTTTTCTTTAGAAATCCACGGAGAATGTCTGTTGCCACCCTCTCATAAATCTATTCGAAATGAGCACCGAAAGCTACGCTATAAAGGACGCTTTCGAGTAAAAAAGCAAAAAGTTGGTGAAAAACAAAAAAAGCAATGTAGAAAAAACAAAAGCCGTTCGGAAATCACTATGGAAAAACTTGTGTTGGGCGGGGTTAAATGGACCCCGCACCCGAGCGCGTGTTAAAAGAAGATGATTTTTTATGGCATATATATTAAGGACGATGGGATAAGGAAACGGTAGGTTGTAGTTGGTCATTAAAGCTGTTGTTTTTGAGCTGCAAGTAATTGGTTTATCCAAGCTGCGTAAAAATGTGCGCCTCTCCTATCCCGTAGGTTTCTGACGATTCGTAGGGGGTTCATTACCAATAAGGATTGGTCGTACTGTTAAACAGTTGCCCCAAACGGTCGGTTTGATCCCCCGGAGTACCTTCATGGATCCCGATACGGTCGTGTGGATGGATAAGGTTCAAGTCCCAGCACCAAACGGAAGAAGGGTGTTGCAACGTCGCCTGGTTGGGAGAGTTCTGGACAGTTGCGCGAGGGGAAATCCAGCTTCGATTCCCAGCTGATTGTCTGGTCTGCCGGTGGTCGTATGGCGGCTGGTCGCTGGCGCTCCATGAAGGGGTTGGCGGTGGCGCTCGCCCCGCACTGGTACAAAGGCCGATCCTACGGGTATGGTGCGAACGGCGCCATGCAGGCTGCGATCGCACATCGGTCAAAATAGCCGGCGTGTGCGGTTTGGC